AATTAAAATTAGTTCTTTATACATTATGCAGCAGCTTGGGCATATACAAAGCAGAGTCGTTACATTGTGTGTGATACATGTGTCGTGTGAAAATGGATGTCAATTATCAAGCGTTTGACAGCGCTTATCGCTCTGCCTGATAAGTTGGGAACGCATACGGCACATCTCGGTCAGTAATTTTGTGTCATGTTGTGGCGTCGCTTCGGTCATTTGTTAAGAGCGAAATTTAACTACTTGACAACGGCGCATTACGCCCGTGGTGTCGCGAAGTTCGAAAGTTCTTTGTGTGGTGTCTGTGGGTAGTGCGATGCCGCATGAATCGAAACGTTTTGCCAATTGTCTCATTGCACTAAAGTGGCCTGGCTCTCGTTGATATCTTTCTAGTCGGAATCGCAACACGGTGTTCGTTCGCGCACCCATCATTCGGCTGATACTGTTCATTCATTCGGTTCGACTTCAAAGGCCATCGCATATCGCGCAACCATTTATTTATCCAAACTTCGTAGTAGATACGCATACACGTCCGAATTACGAGGAAAAGGATAACAAAATGATTCTCTTATGCTTTGCGAACGACTCACTTTCAGTACGTTTTTAGCATTACCGTTTGTAGCACTCACTGTAGCTTATAAAAAATTACTTCAAGTACAGAATCATGGGTAGCGTTTATCATGAAAATAGTGTTCTGCCAGATGGCAGTGATACCGAAAATGTTGAAATTTCATTCATTGTATGTGATAGTCAGTCGAAATCAGATAATTTGGAGTGGGATGATGGATACATTGCCGAATCACCACACTCCGAAAAACCATATGAAGACGAGCAGATATACGATATGTTTTTTATGAAATTACCCTGGAAAAAGTTTACATTGGATGTGGATTTCGAATCTAAAGATGTTCTTATAGTACTATTGTGTGCGAATCGCGCAGGTTCAAGACGAACACGTGTTTTAGTCGTAGGGCCAGAAGACGATCTTAAGTGTATGATTGGTATTCATCCGTTGAGTCAACCCGTTTTATACACGACACATAGTTTAGAAAGTGAGCAACTAATAGACTGGTTTAATTTTCAATTTGTACCGGCAAATAGTGATGAGTTTTTACCATGTTTGCTAATATGCGCTGAAAATATTCAATGCGACGGTGATTGCCTATCATATGATGGAAAAGACACACTTCGATTTCAAGCAAAGTTACCAGAAAAAGAGGAACGGCGGCTCCAAAACATTCGAAATGTGATGCATGCGCGGTACTGTTTATATTTGCTAGAAATGTATGCACAATACAAAGAGCAATACGATAATTTCGATTTTAATAAGTTTTTAAAATGCCATTTTAATTTCAAAGTTGCCCTTCCTCTAATTCATCGTTCGTGGATGGAAACTGATGTTGAATTAAGCGCAGACCACGAATCAATTTTATCCAACTTAACCGACCAACTGACGGATGCTGTGCGAATATTAGGTTTGTCCGATAGGCGAATTGATGAAGAAACAGACTTCGTCAAGATCGAAATCGAAAATAAGTTTAGACATGAACCAGGTGAACAAGAAGCAACTGAAACATCTATACCGACCGCGTCACAAACGGCTTCTCTATTAGAAACTGCCCTGTTGTGGATGGAGACGCAGCCCATAGAGCCTGATATAATCATAGGCATACGACAAATTGCGAGTCATATTCGGAAGGCATGTTTTTATATTATGTTTTATTTTAATAATGCTCATTTTGTTTTGAAACTTTCAGAACTTATTTAAAATTATAGTTTTGTGCATTCTGGGGTCTTAGCATAATTTTTATCATTACCTTCTATTCGAGGCGGAAGTATTACTGTACTCTAGTGACAGGCAATTAGAAATTTAAATATAAACATATGCAGCCACATCTAACATGTAAATTTGTATTGTGTAATGATATATATAGCATAGTCGGTAGAATATGTAAAATATGATAGGTTTTCATTGACTTCAGACATACCGCGCCTACTAATGTTGAATGACAATGGCGCACCTCTATCTTTGTACTCTTGGTTGCTATTTTGTATCACAATATACCGTCACAGATTTACGATGTATTCGTCACTTACTGGTGTCCCATATTTTAGCAATACAAATTTCGAATAATACGTCATCAAAGTCTGTCTGGATTTATTGATAATATAAATATGCTACTGCTTTTGAGGAACGTGTATTGCGGGCGATATATAAAGCAGACACCGTCCGCGCGCAATTCTGTGCAGTGCAACATTGCAGCGACTTCAGAATTTAATTAGTTGTTACAAAATACCATACGTCATAGCTCTCGGTGTTACAGTAGGTCGACACGTTTACGGTTTGTAAACACACATAGTGTCGACTTGCTTTTGCAATAATTTTGATTTATCACGTCGAATACTTAGGTACAGAACAACTGTTACGGTCAACTAGATTTAGTGGCATTGTACTTAACTTTTATATCTTTGCCGCCAGGCGACGTGGGATGTCGCATTATTGATGTAAGTTAAATAATGCTACATTTGCGAAATCGGATTTAAAAGTATGCTAGGGTACTTATCTATGTCAATCTAAAAGAAGAAAAGCAAGTATCTTTCGAGTGAATAAAATCCCCCAATACATAAATAATGTACATAAATATATATACATAATGATGCTATTTTTGGTTCAGCAATATACCTTGTTCTTTACTCTCGACGAATGTTGACGTCATATATTGTAACTCATGTGCTGGTTCAAGATGGATATTGTCGACGACGGACATGGATTGAATATAGATTGTTTGTGCATTATTTATTTAGCTAGATACATGGTTCACAATTAGCTTTAAAATAAGCGTTTCAAAATTGCGTTCCAATTTGCGATATTCATTCAGTTCTGCGGATGTCCTAATAATCGTATCACAAACTTATTTCTACTGCAGATAAAATTGCTGTATTTGTGCGTGAAATGAATAACGTGCAATGTCAAAACTTCTTGTGCAATTATTGAATGGCGCGGTTTTATTAAAATTAATTACTGTAGTGTGTAAACTTGTACATGATTACAACGCGGCTTTTAAATAGTAAAAACGATACTTGATTTTGTGATTAGCGCCGTTCATTTATCTACTCAAACAAAGTTGAGCCAATCAGCGTAAAATAATTTATTTCAATTTTACAGTGGCTGATTTCAATTTTAATTAAGTCATTTAAGAATAAATCTTAAGCATGCGGTGATCAATGATAATATATATTTTTTAAAGTTTGTGCCAAGCAATTAATTAATGATTAAATTATGGATAGTGAAATGTTGCTGTTGTATGACAAGCAAAACAATTGTTTTGCTTTAACTCGTAACGAAGACACAAGCTCAAAATCTGAAATTGTTATCTTTAGAATAAATTGTAGCAGCCATTATCCTCATTTTGTCAACATTTAGTCATTTTAATCACGCGAATTGCAAGCTCGTGCCACTATTAAAATTCCACTAAAGGTGTCGAGTTACTTAATTTGTCATCTTGAAAGTTATTTACATGGACCGAAACTGATGTCACTTTTCGAAAATGACAAAGTATATGTGTGCATTTTAGACAAAGATTTATCGTCCTGATTTTGCTTTCAAGATAAAATACAAGAAGAACATCATCTACGCTTACTTCTGTAACTTATGTTTCTAGATTTATTTTTATTTTTAGTGGCCGGGGATTATTTTTGATATATCTTATTTGATAGTTTTTCTGGAAATCTAATGTATGAAAAGATGATTTCGTGTCCTTATAATATTTTCATTATTTTTGTAAATGGGTATTGGAACATTTAGAAATAAAATATATTTTAGTAGTTGCCAAATCTTAATAAAATAATAAATAAAATATATTTTAGTAGTGCGATAATCTTTTAAATCACATATACAGCGTATTTATAATCAATTTCTAGAATTTATGAATATGTTTACATTAAAACTGCGTTCCTACGTTCACCTGTTTCTGTAATCTGTTTTCGTGTAAGACACGCAATTCTTAGTATTTCAGCTAATATCAGACCACGCAATAATCGAATGATTGAACAAATCTCACAAAATGATGCGTTACACAAAAAATCCTCGGTCATTATATTGTGTTTATTGCGAATATCCGCAGATTGAAGATCTATTTATTTATTTATTTTTTTATTTATTTATTCATAAGAAAGCCGTAATCAATAATAATAGATATTATTTCAGGCTCATTTCAAGCTTATTCATAGTTAATATTAAAAGGATAGTAATTTTATAATAATCATAGTAACTGCACGAATTTCGCTTCTGAAAAAAAAGAGCTGAAAAAAAGCATTCGAACATTAAATACAATGTTCATCATCAAGTTCATCATATTAAAGTCTATTTGACCACCAGTCAAGCTCAAAATTCTTGCACAAGGTTGAAAGTTATACTCATTTAAAACCGTAAAAATGTTAAATTAATAAAATAGCAATAAAAAAATTAAAAAAAAATGGTTGTGCAGGCGATCAAATGGTCAGACTACATAGATAAAGGATAAGGATTATGCAAGAAAATAGTTATTGAAATCAAATTGAGAAAATTCAGTAATGTCATAAAAAGCTAATTCTTTAAAAAGTTTAACTAGGGAACCATGAAATTTTTTGCTGTCTAAGTTTCGGATGTTGAGTGGAAGTTTATTCATAAGCTGAATACCTAGACCGTCAATCGTATTGAAAGAGCTGCCTAATTTATATGTGCGCGCCTTAATAAGTTTGTGTCTAGTGTTGTAGTTTGGGGAGGACGAAGCCATATCAAAAAGTTTCGAATTGTTTTTGATGAAAGATGATGTTACCAGCAGAAAAATGCATGGGATAGTTAGAATATTGTGTTTTTTAAATATGGGTCTACCTCGTATAATACGATTCAATCTAACAGCATCTAAATTATATTATATTAATCACCATCTAAACTTACGTACTGATAACAAGAATAATTCCACACTTGACAAGTTTGATTATCATAACACTTTATTATCTCATTGCAGGCGAGCAAGATGGGATTGCCGACAACGCATCCGGGTGCGACGGGTTTATCGTTTTTCTGTCACAACGGCGAACACCTGACGCAACCGCCTCCTGCTCACATGGGTATCCCGCCTTACCAGCTCGATCCAAAAACGGCCGCAGGAGCCATGGGAGCAATGGGTGCTATGGGAGAGTACTGGCGAGGACTGCAACTTGGGTTGCGAGCGTCGCCTGCGGCCGGTAACGGAGCACCTGGAACGAGTCCGCCGCCACCTCCGCCACCAGCTGTCGGTCTCAGCACCGGAGACTGGAAACGCCTTGGACCTCTGCTTGCTGCTACTGGTAAGTGCAGCATGTTGTAGATATTGGCTCACATTGTTGGAAATGAAGGAATGTCTCAGTTAGTATGATAGAATATACGTGGTATGTGTAGACATATACAACCTATATGTATATATAGAACGTAGTAAATGGATACTTTCATCATTTTATTCTTTTTTTTATGAAACTACCATATCAAAAACTAAAAACTGTAATACGAGACAAATTTTTGTGTTATAAATATTAACAAGTTGACTGTCGCGGATGTTGTAAAAAATATGGCCAAAATTTACAATTTAACACTTTCGGGACGGCACCGATTTCAAAACAATCTACTCAACCGGCTGTAAACTTGATTTTATTGTGTATGTTATGCAGTTTTTTGACAAAATTTGTGGTCATTGAAGGACATACATTTATAATATTGATTTATTTTTGATCATTTTATAAAGAATGGTGACGTTCAAAACAATTTCCATAATGCATTGCTGGTTTATTTTGACATGTTTTACAATAAAATGTTGTTGCCTTCCCCTAGTGCTTTTTAAGTAAAATAATCTATTGGATGTCTATTGCTTGGTATTTGTAGTCGGGGTGTTTGTTGATGTATGTCAAACTCGGTTATTGGAAGGAGAATTGGCGCATCCGCTAATGTTTTTTCGCTCTTCATTTAATTTGTCGAACTTCTTCTTTTTGTTGGTTGGATAATATCATCATCACATTCATCACTATCTTCGGTGCGAATAGTAATTTCGTAAAAATTGTCTGTATGAATGTCTATTTGAAACTCATCTTCACTACTGCTTAATTCACAAAATTTACCAGTTGTTTTGCCATATTTAAAAGCGCTCGGTCGTTTTAAATATAAAAAAAGACCATATAGCAAAGAAAAAGGCTAAAAATACTACTAAAATAACTTAAAATTATTTACAAAATACAACACTGTTTATCACTGCTATATGTAATTTATTCAACTTTTCGATGCAAACTGAGTCATTGTTTATAAAATAGCCTGTGCCTCACAAAGTATGTTTGTCCAATCAGGTGGGCAGCCGTCCCCAAAGAGTTAATTTAATCACATTATATTACTACGAGATATCTCGTAGTTGGCATCCTAGAAAAGATCGCATTCTACGAGTCATCTCGAAGTTGGCAATCAACGTGTTAATAGGATATAACCGTGACTAAATGAATCAATTGTGACATTTTTAGTACACAGAAATTTGTCTATTTGATCTGATCTAGCAACTTTCAATTCATTCTAATTCATTGTTTGATTTCTACATTTAAGATGAAATTTATAATAGACTAAAATAGTTGAGTTTCACGACAGCTTGTTTTTAATTTATTAAATAACTTGCTCAATTACCACAATCTATTTGCAAATGACTTGAGTGTCGAAGCAATTACGAAGTAAGTAGCACTTGAACTAGTAATTGCTACAGAGTACTTCTCTTGGAGCGAGCTTTTAGCAAATAAAAATCCTTACATTTCATTTGAAGTACAGATAATAATTCCTTAATAGACTATACAAAGCACGTGGAAAATTGTAATGTTCTGCAAAATCACTTCTCTATCTTGTAATAATATTTTCATATGTGGGCTACAACATTTTTTCACATTTTTTGATAATAGCCAAAAGATTTTACCGAACTATATTTTTATCGTCTTCTTTCTGTCTTACAGAGTTTTTGAACCATAGAATATAAATCCGTAATTGTAAATATTGTAGCAAGAGAAATGCATCAAATTTTTATCGAAATCTATCAAACCAGTACCTTACCAGTTTTCTGTGTAAGATTGCGTAGTTTATAATCTCTCAGAGCGCTTTATTTACAATTGCATGCTGTAATTTCTGTATTACCATTTTGTTTGTTTATTTAATAAATTTCTATAATTGAAATACTTTTGATATCATATGAGCAAGTAGCAAATCACGTGGCTATTTACTTTTGCATTTTTGTTCAGAAGTAATAAATAAATTCTTTTGCATAAAGTACGTTCGAAATTGCAATGTGAGCAGGAGATGGATAAAGGGTTTTGTAGTGATATTACATTCATAGGAGCTATCATGCTTGCATGTGCATTGTCACTGAGACTTGTAATGGGTATCAATGTAAATCGCTTCCAGTTACATTTTGTCGTTGCTTTGACTGACGCACCCTTTAGCTAGGAGAGGTCATGTTCGTCCTTAAGGGCACTTAAATGGAGATTCTCATTTATTGAAATTTATAGCATTTATATAAAATTTTAACTAGACACTTTTTTCCTTTATTGGCAGTGGTTTCGCTAGAAAGTAGATAGGGACAGTGGGAATCTCGTTAATCCACACTTTTTTCCTTTATTTATAATGAATTTAAATTAATAAATAAGAAAATATTTTTGAATTGAAGTATTTGTTGAATTGAATTGAATTACCGAACTTAATTACGAACGCTACGATAATGGAAAAAATGTGATAAACAAGAAAAAAACAGAAGTTTGCTAAAATTCTACTGTAAATGCATTGCATTAAGATGTTTACATCATTTTTTACGATTATCTTTACTATTTTATGTTTAGTCTCGAATTCGATTTCGGTTTTGGTTCTTGGTGCAACGATGATACATAAAGAAATGCAATTGTAATTAAAAACTAAAAAGTTTTTTAAACATTTATTTCATTTAATGTCAACGTTTCGGAGCTATACACGTTCCATCTTCAGGACATTTTTCTGAGTAAACTTGCGATCAAAGCTATTTCAATAAGATATTTATTATATAGACAAATAAAATAGTAATAAAGAAATTATTGAATGATAATGTAAACAAAAGCGCTCCGAATTTGATTAGATGATTAACTAACAAAACTAATACAGTAAAATATAAATAAAGTTTAGTGGATTGTAATATAAGTTATAAAATTATAATTCAGTAGAATTTTATTATTTATATTACAATCCACCAATTCTTGATTATTTAGTCGTATTGTTTCTACAACAACATCAGATGCCAAGGTATAACATTTTTGCTTTATATTAATAAAATCAACCTTCAAATTTGAACTTAAACTTCGCATATGATGACTTTTTTAATTCATTATCATTATCATCTTATCATTATCCATAAGATGATCTGATACGATTAAAGTGTAATTTGGTGATGTGATTTTTTTATTCCTATAAATGATTTGGATTTAGCAATTGAGAACCTTAGGTTCTCATTTGCAAACATTACATATGACAAGTACACAAGCTTTTGGTGCACGTCGGTCGAACATCAGATAAGCGCTTTTAAAACGTTCAATTTAGTTATTGTGTTCACCTCTCACGGGGCATGTTATTAGTAAGGGGTCGTTTCCCCTTTGAAATCAACCCCTTCAACTTGATAGATTTTTAAACTATTACATCATAAGTTCCGCACGATGTAGATGTCTATCTATTGCCTGTAAATATATAGTACGTTTATATGTATGCTTTCATTTGATTTTATCAGAATCAATTTTAGCATTTGTCAACTCTTGACATGTGTTGATTTTTTTATAATGTATAAATTTTCATTTGTTGTGATTATCAGTATGTCTACAATCTACATAAATGAAATGCAATATATTTTTAAAAATTGGTATACACTGTAAAAAACATAATGAATACAAATAATCGTACTTCAATAGTAAGCAATTCTAATTGACTTAAAATAATATTTTAAGTATATTTTACTTAAATACTACCTTAAATGTGTTCGGCACAGTCGTTTCATGTCGTATTACTGTCTGTATTATGTTTTCTGTTCCAACTTTTTAAAGAGCGTTTGTTTTTGGGGTCGTTACTTGAAGCATAAACAGATTGTATAAAGGGCATAATTTGCTCCTATCTTAACGTTTTTTTTTGTAAATTGTCGAATATAATTTTTGAAAACAGACAATGATATTAATTTTTGGAATCGATTTATATTTTAGAAATTAATGTTTCCAAACATACTTATATTAGTGTAAAACATCTACTGTTCAAAGTGTAAAGTATTGACTACAACTTCCAAACATATAGTTGCATTATTTATTTATTTATTTATAATCAGCTGGTTTATGTTACTGAAGGAGAGTAGTAAAACAAGAATTCATGTTCACACTATTGTGACCCACTTAATTTTTTACACCGTACTTAACACCATTCGTCATACAATCAAATCAGACCTGGAAATCTATCGACGCTAATATTTGAGTTCCGGGCACGTGCTATAGCATGCACCCATTGCAAAGCGTTTTCAACATGCTTGATCGGTGCAAGGCGTAATGTACTTTTTATTTTTAAAAAATCCTTTGTTTATCTCACAAAGTAAATCTTTATGTTTAATTTCTACTGATACATTGGAGTACACTATCATAAGTTAAATTAATCATTTGTGTATTGCATAAATTTATCACTCATAGAATAACAAAACAGAACCATGATATGAGTGATTCTGCATGAAACGAAGTTAAACGTTAGATTCAGTGAAGCTATTTAATTATATAATGTTATTTTAAAATTAAGTACTTTATAAATAGCTAAATATGAGTATTTAACTTTAGGTTTGACGAGGCCTTCGATGTTTCCGTACTCACCAGCGCAGTATTCTTATCCTATGCTTAGTCCAGAAATGTCACAAGTCGCCGCATCATGGTAAGTATTTCATTATGATAAAACTGTATACATAGCATATATATAAATTCAAATAATGATATAAATTTACTATTTTAAGGCATACGCCCAGTATGTACCCCATTTCTTCAGGATCATCAGGATTTCGAAGTCCGTATCCATCATCGTTACCTATTACTAGTACAACTCTTCCCAGGTAAATGATTAAAATTGTATTAAATTATTTCCTTTTGCATATTTACAACATACAATGTCTTATGGTAATACTAACAGACACGCATGTTAAACAACTATTTAACCCTCCGTCGGTCGGATATTTTTTCACCTTCGAACGGTCGGAAAGGTCAGGCTGGACCACCATTCATTTTACATGCATTTATATGGGATAAATGAGTTTTTGGTGTCTTATATATTAACGATTATTAGTAATAAATATTTAAAGTTTTGATTTTTTCTTTTTCTTACCGTCTTTTGCATGTGTTGAGCTTGCTTATAATAAAAATATTACATATTATATATATAGAAAAAATCAAGAAATATAAAAAATCGTTGCTTTTTTTGTTAATTTTTCTGTTTTATATCAATGAAAAACTATATTTATTCTTTTTCGGCGCCTTTGAAATGAATGTGAAATTCAAATAAAAACGAAATGAGGTGCGTCGCCTTTGAAATGAGCTGTAAAACTCAAAGTAAAAATATAATTTCACTACAGGTTTCACAAAAAAACATTTCGAACGCAGTACGGGTAAAAAGATTGTTGATAATGTGTGCATTACTCATCGGATTTTCAGTGTTTGCGATTACCAATAAGTTTGGTAGGTTCTCAAGGAACTCTCGTCATGAAAATACTAACATTCATGTTACAACACATAGCAAAGAATATATACAACGCAGTTTGAATAGAAAATACCATGAAAAAAGACAAAATACTGGTTTACGTATATCAAAAAGCGTATATTTCATACAAAATGTGTGGGTGGTCTAGACAGACCTTTCCGACCGTTCGAAGTATAAAAAAGTTATTATCCTTATAATTATCCTTCTGTACATTTTTTCGTCCTGATTTTTTCATTGATCGACAGCTAATGAAATTTTAGGAAAAGTCAAGGATTTTCAAGTCTATAGAATTACTAGAAGAATTTTTTTTTTTTAATTGAAGTCGAAAAAAGTCTGGCCAGACCACGCCGACCGACGGAGGGTTAATTTAATATCACCGGATCTTATAAAAAGTCGTAATGCAAAACTATTGACATTAATTATTTGACTTTAGAAAATGTATTGATAATATCGGTGGGTGTTTTATTCCATTCGATCTAATTATATATTATAAGCATCTATAATGTTTCCAGTGAAGTATGTTTTTAAAAATGTTTGCATCCCGCAGTGATTTCTACAGGTTTTCACCGACCGGACTGATTCCATCTCATCCGCATGCCGGGCTTAGTCCGCACGCACATCCTCACCACGTGCATTCACTAACATCACATCCCGCAATCGTGACGCCGGGGCCCAAACAAGAATTACCGCACCAGAATAATAACCACCGATATGCAAGGTTAGTGAATTCTTTATTGAGTGGACTAAAACTGCTAGAGTCCTCTCTAGTCGTTCGTTTGCATTCAATTTGTTTTTCCGTCGCATCTGTGACTCGTAGCCTAGGGGTCTACGCGTAGCTGAATGTTCTTTGTTCGGGAGAGACTGTGTACTTTATTGACGTGTGCGCGTCGCTGTTATGAGGGTTGTAATGTACGGCGCATTTGTAATACCCGAACTGTGTGCAACGCACGTCGCGCGCACCTCTGCCTCTATGCAGAATTAATAGTTTGTTGTATCACGTTTTTGATACAGAATTTGTTAAGCTGTTTGTCATGTTACTAAATTGGAGTCTCGAGTTTTCGAAGCCGTCGCTGATGCTGACGGATATTGGTTAAGTGCCGCGGCCAATATTACGCGATAATGATCGTGTTTAGGTATCGCGTATTATGTGAAATTATTTAGAATGGAACCGAATGGATGTTGTTCAGAACCTCTAAACCTTATCCTAGAAAAAAAGCCTGTTGCTTCGGTCGAAAGCAAGAGCGTTTACGTGAAGAAGCATCGTTTCGCTTCAAAATACGAACGCGTTCGTCCGCCAGATCAGTTGCACCCAGAATCAGCCATAGTGCACGGTGACTTCCCCGAAACAGATTATCAACCAGCTGATCTCTCGATGCCAACATCTGGCAAATCTGTACAACATGATTTATTAAACGCAATTCACGATGATAGTAATAAAAACTTGCAAGATCAGATGATACCTGATGATTTATCAGGACGTCTTTATTCTGTTATAAACTCCCTAGCAAAACAGAAAGATTTGGCCGCTCTTTACGTAAATAGGTTGCAACAATTTTCATCACCGCAACCTTTATTAAATTTGCCAGATCATTTTTCTTTGCAAACATTTTCTTACGTTGAGGCCGCTAAGAAAATAGCCGAGCACGCTTTGTTGACTAGTGGCTGGCCTTGCTCAATAGCATCCCCTCCTAGCAGCACCAGCACTTCATCTTCAATCGTGTCACCATGGTTTGAACCGCCACCTTCTATAGTGTCAACTAATTCTTCCGATACAGAGCTAAAAGGTTTAACTAGAAGTACGTCGAAAATTACAGATTCAGAACTATATACACAATCGTTTGTTCAGACGCATAAACGGTATTTAATAAACGTATAAAAAATTGAAATTTTGATATATTTTATATTAGTTCACGCATATATTATGTTTGGTTATAGGTCATCTTTGGATTCTAAAAATTCAACAGCGGCCCAAATAGACAAACAAAATGGACCTGATGCAGGTAATTCTGCAGCAGATAAGAAAAAGCCACATATCAAGAAACCCCTAAATGCTTTCATGCTTTATATGAAAGAAATGCGTGCCAAAGTAGTTGCAGAATGTACATTAAAAGAAAGTGCAGCGATTAACCAAATATTAGGGCGACGGGTAAGTCATCTTAATAATTAGTTTGTTATGTTTATATGTTAATTATTTTAATCCTATTCCGAGTCCTCGCTTCAAAATACTTTGCATGCATTATGCGTGGTGTCAATGTTGAAATATGAATAAGGTTAACGAGCCGTAATATTGATCGCTTCTCTTTGCCTGCCTTGATAGTGGCACTCTCTGAGTCGCGAAGAGCAAGCGAAATACTACGAGAAGGCTCGCCAGGAACGGCAGCTACACATGCAGATGTATCCGGGATGGAGTGCCAGAGACAATTACGGTTACGGCTCCAAGAAGAAGAAGAAAAGAAAGAAAGAGCGCGCCGCCGGCCGATCCGGGAGGTACCGAACCTTTCCAGTACCACATTAGTGCAGTAGTGCTAGAACAGCAGGCGCACCCGGATGCTGTGGCCTAGGCCACTTACTAAAATCATTTAGCCCTATTCTAAAGCTTAGTAATATACGTGCGTTTCACGAGCTGTTCTACTAATCTACTCCGTTAATCAATTCGCTGTTATGTGTGCCATTATGTAGTACATTGTGCGGACTCCTTGTTGCGGGTTGTCAGGCTCGGGAGTTCATTGAATTCGTTGAATTTGTTTCATTAGCAGAATGGGTTATTGCATTAAATAATTGGTCTAGCCCCTCCGCGTGAAACAAACTATAACGTTGCGGTGGCCCCGAAATGAAACAATTTCTATCCTGTCTGTTCTTCTAGCACGAAATAATACGTACCGGAAAGTAGTAGGCCTCGCTTTATTTCTATCTTATCAAAAATCGGTAGTTAAGTGTCTGCAGCTTCAATATTCTCTAAATATAAACGAAAGGCGGCGCGCGAAAAGCGTCTCGTTATAATGTTATAATTTGATCTTGATCGTTTTATTACGGAAAGCGATGAGTTGATGCAATTTTGGTTTCGTTTTCCTTAGTGGCACGCACTCGGGCGCGAAGAACAGGCCAAGTATTACGAACTGGCTAGACGAGAGAGGCAGTTGCACATGCAGTTGTACCCCGACTGGTCGTCTCGCGCTAACTCTTCGCGCGGCAAGAAGAGGAAACGAAAGCAAGAGACCAACGATGGAGGTACAACACCTTAAACCTTGCCATATCACAGCAACCAATTATACCAAAACCCTGCCTTTTCATCTGGTGGGAGGCTTTCCTACAGCTGTCATTTTATTTCAACAGTCGGACAGCCTCCTATGTATTTCTTATTTGGTGCATGCTGGGTACTCTTTGTTCTTTTGAGGGATTCAGTTTTATACGCGTACGAGTAAATTCACATTGGGCTGGCCGCTTGATTTTATTTGCAGGGACCTATTCTGCTATTTGAACGATTCAAAGAATTTATCGCACTGATTCAAATAATGACGCGATTGATCGTTAGAACGTCAGTACGTTCTAACGATCTGCCATAACAGGTCGAATGCCAAATTAAATTTTTCATATATTTCATATTAAAATGGTTGCACGTATATTTTGTTTTCAAGTTTAGTTCATTTTTAGTAACTTTAATATTGCATGATACTCCTCAAAAAATTCTCTAATACATTGAATAACATTTTTTTTATGTTTAGGAAATAATATGAAAAAATGTCGCGCCAGATTGGTCTGGATCAACAAAGCCAATGGTGCAAGCCTTGCAGGTGAGAACATTTTTCTCAAATTTTTAATATAATATATAACAGATAGAAAATATAATACTTAGATTATATGAAAATTAAATAATATTCGAATATTTAATAATAATGAAATGCTTATTATGAAGCTTCTGGTCATCGTTAAGGTGGATAATTTACAGTAATTTATAGTAAATATATAGTGTTGCATCAAATAATTTGGCTAGTTATATTATTATTTTGTAATCGCCAAATATAAGTAACGTTTTTCTATGCTAATTTTGTTTTAAA